GAGATTCCTAGGCTTTGAATATTGACATTAGCTGGTATATTATACCTTGAAGAATTTTTCAGACAAAAGAAAAAAGATATCTTCTTGCTTAGGACTAACCCTCCCAATTGCATATCAAGTTGATTTGCATGTGAAGATACTGGAAGTATTGGGTGTTCATAACCAAACATTGTCACCATCAAAAAGTTTGAGGCCTAAAGTCTCAATATGATTAATGATCTATCTGTCCAGCTGCCCACTAATGTGATGCCAGTCCCAAACCCCATTTGCATTTAGAATCATATTGGCAGGCAATAAGGATGTGTCAACTTGATCAATGCATGTCCTCTACATATTGTATTAGATGACTCAGGTCATTCCACTTATCAAAGCTCCACTTTCTGTAAGAGCTCTCCAAAGAGCCTTGAAAACTGTGTTTAACTCATGTAGGCTGCGTCTGGAATCGGTGTAAAAGTTTACACCAGTATGATTTTGTTCACGTTTGGAAGGAAAGTGTAATTATGACCGACGTAAAACTCCTCTCCGGTTTAATTTTGCGTATGTTTGGATGGAGTAGAGTTTTATATTGATAATCGATATAAAACCTATCAAATGTAAAGTTTTACATTGATTTTATCGATGTAAAATTTTTCACTCTAAGGATTTGAACCCAAGACCACCTTTTTCAATTATGTGGCAAGCTTTTTTTAATTCATCCAACTATGTCTTGAATCAGCTAATGGCACTCTAAGGAAGTGTCGAAACTTTATTTTCAACCTATGTAGTAAGCCCTTAGGCAGGTCGAAAGCCATCATTAAATGAAGGCTCATTGAGGATAGCACATACTTATTAATAGAAACTAGTCTACCTCCCACTAAGAGTAGCTTACTCTACTTAGGTGGCTACTTTAGCCTCCACTTTCTCTACCAGGTCAATGAAATCCTGAAGTTTGGCTTTTCCTTTATGTATTGGAACCCCCTAAATATCGATATTATGGATGATGATGGGTGCACCCTATAACTTGTGCAAGTGCTTATAGGATTATATCAGGGATATTGTTTGTTGCTAGATTAGTTATTGTCTCATATGCGAGTATAAAGATTTCATCAGCTTGTGCAAGTGCTTATAAGATTATATCATCTTGCACGCACGCTGACACACATATTAAAGGAAAGTCCTCACACTAGAGGGTTTCTACTTTAAACAAGCGGCTACCTTTCATAATCATATACAAAACCACCCTCAATATCATTAAAGCTTTACACCTATCACTTCTATGACTGATTAATGGTGTCAAATAAGACATGGTGTATTAGCCACATTGCCTCAAATTTGAATTACATTTTCATATGTTTTCTCTCCCTACAAGATTAATTGTCTGAGGGAAATGGTTAAATGAGAGTGCCACAAATGGAACACATTCACAACACTCATTTTTAAGAGCTCAGATCTCTTAAACTTTTAAGGTTTTGTGCTAAGTTGCAACCTTACCAATGAAAATTCATCAAAATTCACAAGGGTGGTTTTGATTGATTAACTAGAAAAATAGGGTCCGTTTGGTTCACAGTTGGAATTGGAATCAAAATTCCTTGGGAACAAAGTCGGAATGGTCTACTTCCGTAGTCTGTTTGGTTCAGACAAGAATGTGAATGAAAATTGAAATCAGTTGAAGAGGGAATGGCCATTCCCTCAAATGGAGGAATTTAATTCCACCAAGAATGGGAATGGGATTCTAATTCCGCCACATTCCAATTCCGATTCAGACCCCTATTCCAATGAACCAAACAGGCCCTTAATCTCTTTGTATCATAACCACCTACTTACACTTTTCTTACCATAACAAAAAAAAACACTATATGAACTTTGACGAATTCTCGTTGGTAGTTTATAGTATAACACAAAGTCTTAAGTTTAGGGGATCTAGATTGCATTTTATTTAAGTAATGCAAAAATCGACCAATGGCGATAGATACTTTGAAAAACCAAACATTTCTCTCGATACACTTATGAAGGGCTGGTTTATTTAGGGTCTGTTCATTTCCTCTTAACTCTTATCTCTTAAGAGAAATCTTTTAACTTTAAGAGAAAATTGGTTGTTTGTTTCTTCTTATCTCTTAAAGTGCAGTCATACAACTTTTTGTTTTCCAATGATACCCCCAAAAAGACAAACAAAAACTCTCATATATGGGGTCAAAATGGATAGTTGATAATTTTTAGAATTCAAATTTCAAAACAACATTCTCTGCATTTAGAGTTCAGAGGAAAGAAAAGTTCACCAATACCAATATACCTCTTAGGGGGTGTTCTTTTTTTGGATTTGGAGAGGGGGAAAGTTGGTCAATGGGATTTTGGTTCCCATTGACCAAGAATCCCATCTTCAATTTTCAGATTTATGTGAGGACCAGGGAAAGTTTATTTTCCTAGGTATCACTTACCCGGGTAAGTGATACCCATCTCTTAGGTGGGTAAATAGCTTTCCCATTTAGGGGGAAAGTTGCTAACACTTGAATGAGACAAAAATGCTCCTTTTAATAATGGATTTTTATGGCTAAAATGGTCATTATCTTATTTACCTAGGAAATAAAAGAACATGGGTAAATGCACTTACTCGGGTAAGTGTTTCCCAAGAAAAACTTGCCTAGGTAATTGAATTTACCCGGGTAAGTAACTTACCGAAAAACGAACGGGGCCTAAATGTAATTATTGCACTTTCAAATGTTAAACTTTAGAAAAAACAAATAGGCCCTTAAAAAAATTTGAAAAAAGAAAGCTAAGAGACAAAGGAGAATAGGGATGGCAGTTTTCTGCATCCCCACCGGGTACTCAGCCTCCCTATTGCAATGGGGTCAGGGATGGAGAATGCCTTAGCGGGGTGGGGACAAGGATGGGGAGTCTTGCCCCGACCCCAATTATATTTTGTGTGTGTGTATATATATATATTAAATATTAAATATTTTAAAATTTCCCTTTATTTTAAGTAAATATGTTTTCCATAAAATACTTTTAATTAAAACTTTTCTAGGATTCAAGTCCCTACGGGGAACTTGTCTCATCGAGGATGAGAATTTGTTTCAAAATCAGGGTCAGGGATGGGGCCATAGTCCCCACCCTGATGCCATTCCTAAAAGATAACATTGCTAACTATTGAGGTGTCCATCATTGTTTTAGTAGAGAGAGAGAGAAATGGTCATGCTCATTCCTTTAAGTATGGTTTTAAAACCATTGTTCAGTTGGATAGTCTTACAATTCAGCCCAGAAACTAGCTAAGGTACCGATTTTGTTTTAATACTGAACCATTATTTTACCAAAAACCGTTGAATTGGTCAATGAATCGTTGACCTGGATGGTCTGATCGCTGAACCGTTCGACCTATACAACGGTTTGTAGTTTAATATAGAATGAAAAGAGAACAATCTCATATTTGAGATCAGAGAGATAGAGATATCCAAGTCGAGAGATATGTGAAAGAGGGAAATATCCAAGAGATTTGATATTTGTGAAAGAGATCTCAAATTCAATCATTTAGAGATTTGATATATGCGATAGATAGATAGATAGATCATATCATTGTTGTCATCACTGTCGCCATTGTTTACTGTTGTTGTCGTTGCCATCTCTACTACATGCCACCTTCTTCTTCTTCTTCTTCTTCTCTTTGCCTTCTTTCTTTTCTAAGTTTTCTCAGACGACAACCCTCTTCTCACTCTCATTCTCAACCCCTTTCTCATAACATTTATGTCCATCTTACCTTAATATTCCAATCCAATGGGTAAGATGAGATATATATGATTTTAAGTTTTAATGGTTAAAACGTTCGAACCCGTTTGACCTGGATGATCCAACCATTGGCGCAAAAACTAGTGGTCAAAACAGTTTTTTAAAACCTTGTCTTTACACATACATGGATTGTGTAAGTTTATTAAGGACATGACATCTATCCCTACATCATAAACATACAAGTACAAATTATATTCTTAATATACAATTGGATGCTTGCTTTTAGTGTATTTGCACGCTTTTTAGTTTTAGGAGATCCATAAATACTTGGGTGAGAATACATCTCTTATTTTAGCAACAGGATTGCAAGCAAAAACTTGTACACACTTGAAAGTATGGGAATCAAGTCACACAAGGAAATATCTCCTGTGAATTTAACATATATGTACTAGAGATTTTTCCTAGTGTGGTTGGGGCCTAGGGGTGCAACTTGGGCAGGCCCAACTTGAGCCCAAACTAACATATCCCACAATTTTACATGGTTTACACTTAAATTTTTTTATTCTTAGGCTAGTATAGACCCAAAAGCTTGAGCTTTTTAAAATTTTTAGGCTTCTCTAGGACCTAGTCCTTAGGTAGCACAAGTCCGACCTAACCTTATCCCAACCCGAGCTTGACCTAATTATGTGCATGTACATATGCATGCATACATAGAAACATATTTGCATGCATACATGCATATGTGCATATTAAACCATACATACATGTATACTTGTACACATATATGTATATCAATTTTTTGTGTGGATTGATTGACTAACTCGAGCCTAGCCTAGGCCTGGGTCTAATCCGAGTTCATCAAAATTTTAGTATGGGCCAAGATCAAGTAAGATAATTCAGGCTTGAACTTTAGTGCTTTTAAGTCCAATTCTTAGGGTCGGGCCTAATTAAGCTAAAACCCGCCCCAGTCGGCCATATTTACACCCTTATATGTGGCTGTATGATATTTGGGGTGAATTTTTACAAGGAGAATAGAGCTCCTAGGAGAGTAAAGATTATTTTTATTGAAAATATATTATTTTTTATATTAATCATTTGCTCGACACCCCGTGGGAGTCGTTATTCTTTTAAGTGAACAGTACATTATGAAACGGATTTGAAACCGCACCATATTCGGACAATTCATCCAGCCTATCAACTGAGCGCGTGGTAACATACTTTTGGGAGCATATTCGGACCTCCGGTTTCCAGGGTGAGGGCCGTGAGGCCCAGGAGACCGGGTTTAGTCCCAACAAGCCACTGCAGCCGCACATCGGACGCTTGTGCGACTGCAGTGGCTTGTTTGGGACGCTTGTTAACCCCAGCAGGCTCAGGCAATGGGAATTCAAAATTTGAAAGTTAAAAATCCTAATGTCGAACACATGATCTACGGTCAACAAGAAGAAATTAAAAATGGCGGAGCCTCGAACCCTAGAAGATCTAAGCTCCGAAGAGCGGGGCGAGGACGACCAAGAAGAGGAGGAACTTGAAAATCTTGAAAAGCTGGAAGCTGAAGTGAAACAAATGGCACAAAGGATCCTCGAGTACCGAACGACTCTTCCGGATCAGTTCAAGAGCACACTCTCTTCAATTCTTGTTTCTCAGAGACCCATTCTTCCTCATTTCGACATAGCCGCCGAACCCGGAATTTCCGGAGATCGTACACCAGGTGCATTTCTAGGGTTTCCTTTTTTTTTTTTCCTTTCCTTTTCTTAATCCTGAGAATATTGTTGCCTTTTGCCCCTTCCACTCTCATGGTGGTCTTCTTTGGAGACTCTAGACGGAAATTAGTTTTCGAAAGTATATTTCATTATATTTTCTATAGGTAGATTTCTACTATGTTACTGTAAATAACAGATTGTTGCATGAATACTGCAGTCATCACTAGAAAACAGAGCATCACCTTCTGACTTGGGTCGATTATTTTGTCCAAATGCTCAAATTTTAGAAAAAAGTCTTCCTTGTTCCGTTTTATATAACCTCAGTTTTCTCCGTGCTCTAGGAGCTGAGTGAATTGAAAATGTTGTTCATTACCAATTTAAGCGTGGGGATACAGTGTTGAAATGGAATCATTTCTCTATAGATAACATGTTTGGAATGCAACTTAATGGAGAGCTCATTGACTGTTACCATGGATGAAATTGTTATACGTGGTTTCTTAATCATGTTATCACGTTTTTGTTTCTTTGTTCACTATTTGGCAGAGAGCTCATTGACTGTGTTTAGTACATTTACCCATTATTTTGCTTCTTAGAATAAAAGAAAATTGCATTGCAAATAAACAGTACTTGCTTTTTTTTTTTATCAATAACAGTAATTGCTTTCATTTCGAGTCACTTAAACATATGGTCGTACAGTGTGCACACATCAGCATAGGTAGTTTGTTCCTAGTTAGGGACTTTGCATAGACCTACATTTGAGGCATCAACTGTGTAAATGGATATTGAACACATGACCCTGTTACTCTTTTGTCAACAATGCTTTCAAGAATCATCTTAGAGGTTTTCTTGCTTTATTGGTTTGCCTTTTTTAATACTTGTTGAGGTTTTTGCCATTTCTAACCTATACAGATGGGGGAGAACATGTTCAATTAAGTCAAGATGCATTACTGGCAGAAAAGGATCCAGAGACTGCTGAGAAAATACGTATGCTTAAACTCAAGATTTCCAATAATGTCTCTTCTATGCCTCTCATTTTGAAGAGAATGAATGAATGCATTTCTATGATTGACAACCTTGATTCTTTAGGTGGAACCATACATCCTGCTTTCAAAAGGAGGAAAAGTTGACTAGGTTCAGCTTTGCTAGATTTTGTATCTTAATCATGCCTGTTATATGAAGAGGATCAAGTAGTGTATTACCATGTTTGGCTTGATATATAAAATGGAGCAGACATCCTTGAGAAAACTGACAAAAATTGTAGCCTCACTGGATTTGTGAGTCCTGATTGTACTGTAACTACTTAAAATCATTTGTTTGATGTGTAACATAATGTAACTTTGTGACTACTATTCCAAAAACATATTTCTAATGCATCAAGATTATGAAGAGAATGCTGCTAAAGTACAATGGTTGTGATACTTAGGTGTACATCTCACTCAGAACAATAATGCATCCTTTTCGATTGGTAAGAAGGATCAATTTATTCTTCACTTGTCTGCATGTATTATTTATTTGTTTAACTTTCTACCTTGTCTTTTTTTTTGCCTGGCATACATTCTGTCCTATATTTCCTTGGTTGGAAATAAATTTTCAGATAGAATAGAGAACTAGAGTTGCTGACTGCTGGGGAACATGAAAAGTATTTGTATTCTCTTCCCCATACCCACCCCCAATGAAACCAAAAACAGTCAGTTTACTATACAGCCCATTATGTTCTATTGGAATCATCTAGTGAACTTCTGGTGTGGCTGATGGACAAGATTGCATTTAAGAATGATCAAATGTTCTGGATGTGGTAGAATTCCTTGATAGTATAGCTTATAGAGATTTAAAAGCCAATTTAAATGTAACACATAGAAAAATGTACTTGTATTCGTGTTGTCCTGTTGAGTGATAGAAATAAAAGCTTGAAACTAAATACATCATGCACAGGGGTTGGAAATGTCAAAAGGCAGCATCTTTTCCTCTTGTTAATATGGAATGATCTTGATGTAATATAGTTAGATTAGACTTGGTTTTTGTGTCAGTTGCCAAAACAGAAAATAGGATTACATAATTATCTTCTGAGCATTGTTTTCCTTAGGTAGTGTCACTAATATTTTGGAAGGAACCTACAGATTTTAAAGATGTCATTTATCTAATCCCTTGTCAGTTAGGTAGTGTTGTGCAGTTAAAAAAATGTCTGGCATGCACAGTTGATTACAGAGCTACCTGAGCAAACCTATATTTATCATCTTTTAATACTACTAGTGCAAATACTATGATCCTTTACTTATCTAAGGTTAAACAATACTGAGTTAAATCATTAGCAATTGACTGACAACATTATGATTCTTCTACATGTATCTTTCTTGAATGTATGTGTGCTTTTGTCCATAAGGATAGCTAGACTGCTAAACAAGGGAAAACCACAAGGGAAGAAGGTTGTGGTAATGAAAAAAACTTTAAACAGAATATTTTAGCTATTGCTTATATAAAAATGATAATCATGAACACTGGCTGAGTGGCCGTTGACACAAAATATTTAATAAGGCTTAAATAATGATGAAAATTCTGAACATTGGCAGTTCCAGAATTCCAGCCATGAGGGTAGTTTGACATCTAGGCTCTTGGGGGGCATTCTTTTTTCATATTTTGAGAGGGGGGAAAGTTGGTCAATGGGATTTTGGTTCCCATTGACCAAGAATCCCATGTTCTTTTTCAGATTTATGTGGGGACCAGGGAAAGTTTATTTTCCTGGGTACCACTTACCTGGATCTCCTAGGTGTGTAAATAACTTTCCCACCTAGGGGGAAAGTTGCCAACACTTGAATGGGACAAAAATGCCCTTTTTGATAATGGATTTTTATGACTAAAATGGTTATTGCCTTATTTACATGAGAAATAAAAGAACATGGGTAAATGCACTTACCTAGGTAAGTGTTTCCTAGGTAACTGCATTTACCCAGGTAAGTAACTTACCGAAAAGCGAACAGGGCCTTGATGTTCTGACTTTTGAACTTGCCTTTCATGTTGACCAGGAAGAGAGATATCATATATTACTATATTAGCTTCAGAAATATGAGAGATTTTCCATTTGTATTCGATGGCTACATGTAGACTGATGTATTCGCCTTTGAGTGGGTCAGTGCAAGCCCGTGCTCATAACGTTCGAACAGCCTCTTGCAACCTTGCATTGGGAATATCTCCCCATGAAATAAAGCACATAAGTATGAAGATATCCCCAATGCAAGGCTGTTCAAACAGGCGTTGCATTGATCGAAGCCAAACTCTATGTAGCCTATTGTACAAGCCTTGTTTGTAGCAGATCCAGTAGGCACAATACAGGAAGTACATTCTGTAAGCACTTTGTAAATATTCTGACAACTCTTAAAAAATTTGTCTTTAATCTTTTTCAAGTGTAGGTTGGGGGTATTTCAAACGACAGGTGTCAAAAAAAAATTTGAAAGTGTTCATTTAACATGTTTATAACGACGTGCCTACCTGATCGAGACTCTTTTCTTCATGCTATTACAATGTGAAGTTCGAGGTGCTCCCAAAAATGGGTACAACATGGCTGTGTTTTGGTTTGGTTGGCATGTTGGAGCTAAAGTGTAACTCCACTTCTCAATGTATCTTATGTATTGGTGTGATACGTATTCTATGATACAGTGTTATACGTATTATACTTTGAAGTTTGAACCATGCTCTGAATTGCAATGTTGTGCTTTTTTTCCTATTGCTCAGTTTGAAAAGAGTATAAATACAAATACGTATACAAAGGGTACGACTATGATATGGAAAATATGCGATATTTAAAAAACTTTTGACCAATCAATTGGAATCATAAATTGGTAGCCAATTAGGTGTTATTTATCAAAATTCATGGATGGGTTTTGATTGGTCAAAAGAATCAAAACTCTTTCTATACCATATATTTTCCACATTATAGATTTTCCTGTATACAAAATAATACAAAATACAAAGCTTTGCACTCTATATATTTCTACATGTATTCCTTCCAAAACTGAGCCTATGTTGCCGTATGTCAAAGGGTGCTCAATTGCGTTTGAATAATAAATTCATCAATCTCACGTTATGTCGTGCGTATGGTATCAGTACAAACAATAAATAATGAAAATTGACGGTTGGAGATGTTAATAGCCATACTAACGTATCAAATACAATAAGAATTTGTTTGGTAGGCAGTTGGAATTGAAATCCAAATTAATTATATATTCCTCCTACCTGTTTGGTTTCATGTAGGAATCGAAATCAATTGAAATGCATTCTCATTTTCAAGGAAGAGGGAGAAAATGGCCATTCTCTTAAATGGCGGAATCAAGGTTTAAAGTATTGATACGTATTGTTTTAGAAGCTCCCTGATATGCCCCTACAGGGGGTGTATCAGGGTTCTGACCGGTTCAGGGGGTGGATGAGCCTTAAACCGCCCCCTTGAACTGGTTTTAAAAAATAAAAAATAAATAAAAAAATCAGTACCGATATGACCCAATATGCCGGGTATATCAATATTTTGAACCTTGGGTGGAATATCATTTCACCAGAAATGAGAATGAGATTCCAATTCTGTCCAACCAACCAAACGGAATTAAAATTTCTAGACTCCCATTCCCAATGACCATTGAGGTCTTAGCTTAGAAAACAAGTATGAAAAGACGCTATTAGGAACCCATACATCTTACCAATGAACTGTCTGTATCTATTTTGCATTCTTAGCGAATGTAACTTTAATAAACACTACCATGTGTCTTCTTTGCTTGCTTGCCAAATGTAACCTTATTGTCCAATGACCATCAAAGTCATTTCATAATCAACTTTGTAGAAGTAAGCTTGCACCCCACCCCATCTCTCGAATGTTAGATTTTTGTGGTAAATAAACCATTTCATACTTGAATGAGATTTTCCTAAATCCTAATACCAAGTTTGTAAGGAAAGGACATTTTGGTAACAGCCATCCTCTATTCCTTTTATTGCTTAAACATGTTTTGCTTACTAGTTCATTGTCTATGAGAACAAAGTCCATTTATTGCCCTTGTACCAATGTTTTTGAAAATCATCTTGGAAATGGAATTACTTTTCCTTTTGAGTGGTGGATCGGAGCCTCATATGTTTGTTTAATCATCCTTGTCAAATGGGTCAACTTTATTAATGATGGAGTTGGTAAAAAAAAAGAGAATTAATATCTAATTATAACCCGCTGATCAGTTGAAATAATTCACAGTTCAATTGGCTCAGGTCTTGCAAATAAACTATTCAGAGACCCGGAAATGAATCCCGATTCAGTCCTCACAAAATTTATCCTTATACCGTCCTAACAATACTTGTATCCCTATATTGAGAATATCTCTTCATGAATAAAATATTTTGTGAGGACTAAATTCGGTCTCCCCAAGGTGATAGGTTTGCTGCAAGAGCGTTAGCCAAAACCGTTTTTATGGATCCCTCGGTCCATAGACCCAGACCAATCTTTTGCTTCCACGGTCCAGTTTCAATTAAACCGGGTAAGCCGAGTTCGACCGCGCATTTACAAATCCTTGGTTTGGGTTGCCGTATGAACCACTATAAACCCCGAAATCAAACTCAGCGCTCTCTGTACCTCCATTTCACACTTCCACGGTATTTCCGAAACACAGGAGAGGCACAGCAAAGGCGCCATGGGAACTTCGGTACAGGTCACTCCACTCTGTGGAGTGTACAACGAAAACCCTCTTTGTTACCTTCTCTCTATCGACGGTTTCAACTTCCTTGTTGATTGCGGATGGAACGATCTCTTTGACACTAGTCTTCTTCAACCACTCTCGAGGTCAATGCTCAATCTTATTCCCCTCTTATCCAATTCATTTTGTTTGCCTCTGTTCTTCCCCTTCTCAGTGTTTACTGGACGGGGAATTGATGTTGAAACTTTTTTTTTTCTAAAGAAATAGCTACTTGCGAGGCATCTCTTAATGCCTACTTGAAATTTTCATTTTGGATTCATTAGAAGTAGTCTAGTTTTCTTTCTTTCTTCTTCTTATTCTTCTTAAAATGCGTTTCTAATTTCTTTCTTATTATTGCCTGAAACACTATACTACTATAGACGATTAAACGTGGAAGAATGACTGTAATCCTTAAATTTTCGTGGCAGATTATTACGTTTTTGTCAAATTTAATAAAAGAAGAATGGTAAAGAAATAGGTATCTTACAAGGCTCTTTTATGAGTTGCTTGTTGGTACTTTGCATTATCTAGATGACATAATCTGGCTTCCAAATCTTCTTTATACACCTTTCTTTCTCACTGTGGCATGAAGCCTTTGATTAGCCAAACAATAATAGAATTATAGAAATATAGTAGATAGAGTATTCTATCTTACTCAGCCGAAATATGCTATTGTAAGTTCCGTAGTTATGGATTCCATATAATCCTTCAACTCATTAAGAACCAGATAAGGGGGGAACGTGGTTATTTTTCTGGATGATGCTGGTCGCTGGTCATGTAGATGTTTTATTGTTCCATCATCCACAATTTCACACATGAATGGAGTGTGTGATAATGTAGAAACCAAGACAGTCAGAGGATCATAAGTTCATAACCATTATATTTGACTATTTATTGGCATCAAAGGGAGAACTCAAGTTATTCTATGTTCTTATGTATTAGTTTGCTTGTTAGGCACATATTTTGTGACCTAGGGGATTCTATTTACCACGAAGGTTCTAGGCTTCTAGCTATACAGACACCTTGACAAAACAATGCACTTATCAGCATATTTGTTCACTTAACTTATTATCAAATAGAGCTTTGTTTGAAGTTGATATCCCTTGGCATAACTAGACATTGCTAGATAGGGTGTGAGGTAAAAGAATGCTTTAATCATGGTGCTGAAACTTTGATTTGCACATCTTATTGGTATTTAAATCAGTGTTTTAAAAGGCGTGGGAGGCGTACGCCTGGAGGCGCTCCCAAAACGCCCTGAGGCGTATGCCAGAGGTGCTGACACCTCTGAGGTGTACGCCTCTTGCGCCTCATGCACATCTGATATGAAAATACAGAAAAAAAAAAGAAAAAAGAAAAAAAGGAAAGGCATTCAATCATTAAGGTTGATTTGGGAAAGGCATTCAATCATGTTCAGTAGGATTTTTGGATTATATGTTGAGTAGAATGAACTTTGGGCAGAAGTGGAGGAATTGGATCAAAGTTTGCACAACAACTCCCAAATTTTCCATTTTAATAAATGGCTCTGCAAGAGGATTTCAAGAGCTCAAGAGGATTAAGACAAGGGGATCCTTTGTCTCCCATATTGTTCCTTATAGTTTTGGAGGGCTTAAGCCAAATGACTGAAATAGCCTTTGAGGTAGGTCTTTTAGAAGGGTTTGAAGTGAAGAGTAATGGTTCCAGTTTGAGACATCTCCTATGCTGGTTTGAGGTGGTCTCAGGTTTGAAGGTCAATATGGCAAAGAGTGAGATGGTGGCAATAGGAGATGTGGGTATTATATCAAATCTGGCAGAGGTTCTTGCTGTCAAGTGGGGAAAATTTCAACTAATTATTTGGCTTTACCCCTAGGTGCCAGATATACTTCAAAAAGCATTTGGGATCCAGTCGTGGATAAGGTCAATGAGAACTGCTTTCTATCTAAGGGGGGTAAGTTAACTCTAATACAGAGTGTCCTTACAAGCCTACCGGCTTATTATTTGTCTCTTTTTCCAATTCCAAGGGAGGTGCAGAAAAATTAGAGAAGGATATGGGGGATTCTTGTGGAAAGTTTGGAAAGACGAAGAGAAATATGATTTGGTGAGATGGGAGAATATTTGCAAACCTATAGCTTGTGGAGGACTTGGGAAAAGAAAAGTTAAAGGTTTCAAGATTGCTCTTTTGGACAGGTAGTTATGAAGCTTTTGTACAAATCGCAATGACTTGTGGAGGGAGCTGATTGTTGAGAAGTATGGATTAAGTGATAACGGTTGGTATGCTTTGGACTCTAGGTTGTCTTATGGTTGTGGAGTATGGAGGAGAATTTGTAAAGTCTTCCCTAATTTCTTGAAAGGAATAAGATATACCTTCTTGGCAATGGGACTAGAATAAAATTCTGGTTGGACCCTTGCCCTTGGTGTGATGAATTGACTCTGAAAGAAAATTTTCAGAGTTGTTTGTTTTGGCTTGCAACAAAGAAGCTATAATAGCAGATTGCTTTCAGGTAGAAGGATTTTTTTTTTACTGGGAGGTGTAGTTGGTAGTTGAATTGATGTCCTTGGTGTATAATCAGCAAGTCAATGTGGTTGGACAAGAGATTAGACAGTGGAGATGGTCCAAGTCAGGTACCTTCTCAGTCAGGTCCTTTTATGTTGGCTTGTTGGGAGAGCAAGACAGATCCTTTCCTTACAAAGTCATTTGGGGAAACACAGCACCCTCAAAAGTCAAAAGTTAAAATTTTTGAGTGGGTGGTGGCATGGGAAAAGTGCTTAACGAAGGAATTGCTGGTCAGAAAAGGAGCTAATCTAACAGGCCTGGAGTGTGCTTTTTGTAACGAGCATAGGGAATCTGTGAATTATTTGTTCCTATTCTGCAATTTCTCTTATAAAGTCTGGAATAAGCTGTTCCAGTTTATGGGTGCTTTCCTGCTTCAGTGAAGACCTTGCTAACTGGGTGATGGGTGCACAGAATGTCCAAGAAAGGGAGAGCTTGTTGGGATGTGGTGTCTCTAGCAGTTTTGTGGGCAATCTGGTCTGAAAGGAACGGTAGAGAAATCTAATCCAGAGGAGGATGCTATCAATTGTGCAGTTGACATGTTGAGAGCTTGGTTGTCTACTCTTACATGTTTCAGTTCTGATGACTTCTCTTTCTCTTTTTTGAACATAGATTTTTTTGGGGGGTCCTTAAAGGAATGTTCTTGTATAGAAACTACTTGTACAGAGGACCATATATATATATATAGTAGAACTTCCAGTGGCTTCTCTTCTTCCAGCTTCGCTTCCACCTGTTTAGCATTGTTTTGGTGGAAGATGCTGCTTTCTTGGTCTTTATGAACCATAAACCATTGCCTGCGGTACATCTGTGATCTTGCATACTTGCCTACATTGCATATCAGATATGGGCTTCCCAAAATTGGGACTTGGGAGTCTTTCTGAATCTTTCCTCTCATTCCACAGACCCTAGAGATTAATAAACTCCTTTTTTGTTGTTTTTTTTGGTGGGTGGGGAGCAATTGATTAGAATTCAGAAGTAAATGCCTTTTCTTTTGAGACCCTGGCCTGCCAATTTATCATAGTTTTCATATATAACGTTTAGAGGAGCCCCTAATGTGCCATTTTTATTTTATTTTTTCCTGACACCCTTGGGGTTTGTACTTATCTAATTGCATTCATCTTAATTCATTTTTTTTGTGTGTGTGTGGGTGGATGGGTGGTGGGGGGGAGGGTAAAGGAGATGATGGAAGGGTTTGAAACTTAAGATTCAAAAGAAATAGGTATGTACTGTTATTTACTGAGAAAAGGGACTTTTCCTGGTGGTTTTCGTTTGGAAGCTGATATCCTAGCAAAGGGCTCTTAATGTACTTTTTTGGATATGAATCTCACTGTTGATTATTTAATTCCAAGAAATAACTCAATCCCCAAGTGGTGCATACCTAAGGGGAACTATTGTTGGTAACTGTAGCAATTTCTTAAGTTCTCACTTTGCATTTCAGGTTTGAAGCCATTTTTTGGATTGATTTCAAATGAATTGGGTGCTACCATTTTATTTCAGCAAGTTGGGATATGCTTGGCATATGAAGGTGTTTGTGCCTGGGGTCATGCTTTGTGGAGCCCTTAACCCTTTATGACATGTTTGCTTCATGGAAAGAGTATGCATATACACAAGTAAGGGACCTTTGGAGCTAAGAGCAACCCAATCAAGAAAAGCAGTGAAATGTGGATTATTAATATGCTGTTTTGATGGTCACTTAGTGGATTATGAGTCACTTGTCACATTTCAGGATGATTTTATGGCTTTTACATCTTCGTACAGTGGTTCTGTCATCATGGTTCTCATTCAATAGATATACTTGTAATTGACTTTAGTTCCACCAAAAAAAGTGGTTCTATCTACTCTATGCAGAGGGCAATCAGGCATTTGGTATATTCCATGAAGCCTTAGATTCCACCAGAAGAAGTTAAAGAAAAATATGAAGAGATTTTGGAACAATTTTTTCACCTTTTTACATGTCTTGAAGGTAATCCTTGGCCTAACACATGAACATGACCACTTCAGGTAGCAATCATACAAGATTGTTTTTAACATTTCTTTTGATGAAGAAGAAGTGTTTTTTTTTTTTTGGTTTTTTCGGGTAGTAATGAGTTTTAAAAGTATACTTTTGTATGGCTGTACATGGTTTTGTCTCAGTAACAATGAATGAATAAATTTTGTTGGTTTTCCTTTAAGAAGAAATTCAAGATTGCTAGTTTTATAATGAGTTGGCACTCTGATTGCACAAAGTTGGTTTAGTTTCCTAAAGGCTTGTCATGGATATGCAGGATATCTTCAACCATAGATGCTGTTTTGCTATCACATCCAGATATACTTCATCTTGGTGCCTTGCCATATGCCATGAAACACCTTGCACTGTCTGCTCCAGTTTATTCGACAGAGCCTGTGTACAGACTAGGCCTCCTAACCATGTATGATCACTATCTCTCACGGAAGGTGAAGATTTTTCTGACTCTTGAATTCTATTGTTTCTTATGTTAATGATGTATATTTATGATGAGTGTCTTCTGGCTGGTATGGCTACTTGGAGTTTGAGAAGGCAACCATTTAATTATCCTTTTCAGGTAATTGTTTAAGTGTTAACAATAACAAAAGCTGAAGATGAGTTTTGGTTAGCTGCCTTTTTCGTTTTAGTTCTGACTTTGGTAGAGGGTAACACCTATCAAACCCTTTAGATCCTAATGCCAATTTATATGCTGCTTTTGCATGGTTAATAAGAGATATTTTTTATTGAACCTGATAGAACCTTTTCAAGGCCCAAGAAAGTACATTTAGTTTGTTTTGATGTTTCATTTTATTATATCTCTATTATGTAATGCTATTTGGGAAGGAAAAATAAACTTTCAAGGAGGAATGTGGTACATCTGAATTTGATGTAACAAAGGAAATATAGTGTGTGGAAGAAGAGACAATCTGAATTTGATGTAACAAAGTTCAACACCTTTGGGTCAATTCGGCTCCTGATAATCCATGTCTATACTTTAGTAATTCAAGGAGGAATGTGGTATATCCGCAAGGTCTGTTTACCTCGTTGGTGCTTTTTTCATGATTGTTATTTTATGATTTGGGGGACATGGCTACATGTAAGGAGCAAGGATTTGGAAATGTGTGGATACAGATTTGGACACATTTACATGTGTCTTGTGTAATACAAAGGAGGATAATTGTAGTCCTCTGCTGAAGGAGGGTAGACAATACTAGTGATGCTTTCAAAGAATAGAGGGACATAGCAACCTGGATGTAGATTACTTTACACATGAGCAAGCAAGGGAGGAGGGATGGAGGGAGATGGAGGGGGAGGGAGGGAAGGGGGGAGGTGCAAGAGACCTCTGCTGTAGATCAAAGGCTGGTGCAGTAGTGCTCCCTTAAGTATTATCGTGAAGTTCAAAGAGCCAAAAAATTTGGGACTCCCGCTCAAGTATCATTCTTTTTTTGGATCAACTCTATTTAATCGTCATGAGATATGGGGAGCCATAGATCTTGGGCATAGTGATTGTCTCATCTATTTAGATTGTAGTAACGAAAACTCTTTACTTTTAGTCTCTAGATATCCATCATTCTTCTTATGCTTTTATACTTGAATTGAATTTTCTAGTTGATACTTGAACTGTGCAGGCATTTTATTAGGTTTTACCTTGAAGTGATTATTTTTAACAGTATCCATGTCTTGGATTTTGAGGGTTGCCTTTAGACACTATGTGTCTGTTTAGATTGTAGAAATGAAAACTCCTTACTTTTATTCTCTAAATATCCATCATTCTTCTTATGCTTTTATACTTGAATTGAATTTTCTAGTTGATACTTGAACTGTGCAGGCATTTTATTAGGTTTTACCTTGATGTGATTATTTACCATTCTGAAACAAATGATGAAACCTTGAAGGGGCCATTGCTTGGTGCATTGGTAAAATATTGGGCTGAAAAGTGTGAGAGAACACAGGGTTTAGTATATTGCATTGGCCATTTAATGTGAATGCTGGAGGTTAGGTTCATACCTGGTGCAGCTCTTCCAAGACCTCGGATAGATGGGGCCAGCATTGAGTAATGGCCTTTTAAGCATATACTAAAGCCAGATACTGGTATAATTGTGTAAAACCTTTATTCCTCTCATAGTTACCTAATTCAGTCACCACCTATCTGATTTGAGAAGTGGTTCATTATGAACCAATTTGCAAGTTGGTTTGTATAAATTCAAGAAAGAAAATTTTCTCCTCTTAACTTGATGACTTTATGTAAACAGGATACTAAATAAAAAGTAGATTTATTTGATATGCTGCTTCAAACAATAAAAAGAAACAATGTTACTAAAATGTAGGTTATAAAAAATACTGCTAAAACGTAGGAAATAAGATGTATTGTCTTACTTATAAAAAAAAGATATATTGTCTTGGTATTCTCCTATAATCCTATTTTTATTGGTAATTGTTCACTTTTATTAATTAGTGATAAAAGAATGTATAACATGTACAAGGAGAATGCGCGAAGTACACCATTGTCCCTCAGTAGCCTTTGACACCTTACCAATCTGTCCCTACTCCCTACTGGTTTGTATACAATACAAATCATATTCCCTATTGATCACACCTCGATACAATCTATCCCTGTTCACTCCTTGTTTGACCAATGCATCATCTTTGTGTCCATGGAAAATTAGCTCTCTCAATTCACATGTCATCTGCCTTCCCTCAATATGTTTCTGTATTGCCTTGGACCTAGGTTATTGTTTATTAACCGGCCCACTACAATACGAAAATCCCCTTCCACCAAGACGTCTCTATAGTTTAATGGCTTTCCACTTCAGGATTTTATCCTATAATCCTGACCTGCCTTTTTCTAGTGAATCTAATTCATGTAATAGCTACAAATCAGAATTTGTACCAAGTGAATACATCAAGTAGCTATGGTTTTATTTATTTATTTATTTTTTGTATCTGGCAATAATAGTATATTGCAATCTTTTCTTGTAGGGATGGGGTGGGGAGAAACAACTGTATTGGGGGGTTTTAAAAGTGTAAAACTTCTTAGTGTCACAAGAAACATGAATGTGGACAAACCTCAGATGTGTGCACAAAGAGATGCATCCATTCCTATTATTTTCTGCCTTTTACATGTCACTATTTTACCCAACTTTTGCACTTTTATTGTGGGGAAGTATTGCTGTTATCTCTTAAATTTTATCTCATGATCTCTCCATTTGCAGCAAGTTTCAGATTTTGACTTGTTTACTCTGGATGATATTGATTCTGCTTTCCAAAATGTAACGAGGCTGACATACTCTCAGAATCATCATCTGTCTGGTAGGCATTGTTACAATATATCTTGTAAACATGGTTAAACTGGAAAAATAGATGCTTTTGTTTGGATATCTTCATATCCAGCACCATCACACACACACACATACAGAGAACCATCTATTCTGCTTGTCTCCCAGGTTCCAGTTCTTCTGGATGTGCACCACCTGTATGACTAAGGTGGACATCATATAGGTCATATGTGCAAATTTCCTGTTCCTGTTCTCTTCTTCATCTTCTTGGTATTTCTTACTTAAAGGCTTATGATAGGCAAAGGAGAAGGAATCATTATTGCTCCTCATGTGGCTGGGCATCTCTTGGGAGGCACTGTCTGGAAGATAACAAAAGATGGGGAAGATGTAATATATGCTGTTGACTTCAATCATCGTAAAGAAAGGTTATACACAAACCTTCCTACCAAATTCCTCTGTTAGAAGTTAAAAAAGCAATTCTGTTATTCATAAAATGCGAAACAGGAAAAGTCAGTGAATGCTCTAGCTTATGTTCGGAAATATGGGAAAAAACTTATTGGTTTGGTTATCTATCAGGCACTTAAATGGAACTGTTCTAGAATCATTTGCTAGACCAGCTGTCCTGATAACAGATGCCTATAATGCTCTGAATAATCAGCCTTCTAGACGCCAAAGGGACCAAGAACTTTTAGGTATGCTGATTTTATTCCACCAAATTTATTTGAATTAAAAATTCTGCGGATGATAATTTGACTTGTTCTTTGGGCATTATATTTGCATAATTTTTTAGATGCTATTCTGAAGACTCTAAGAGCAGATGGAAATGTACTACTTCCTGTTGATACAGCTGGTCGAGTATTGGAACTTCTTTTGATATTGGAACAGGTCTTTTCAGAAACCATGTCTTTTAGTGTTCTCTTCTTGTGTAACTTCAGTGGTACTATAAAGATGTGATTTGATGTATATGGCAGCACTGGGCACAACATCATCTGAACTATCCAATTTTTTTCCTCACATATGTCTCATCGAGCACAATTGATTATGTCAAGAGTTTTCTTGAGTGGATGAGTGATTCAATAGCAAAGTCCTTTGAACATACACGCGATAATGCTTTTCTGTTGAAGTAAGTTTCTTCTGTTTTGTCATACTTTGTAGAGAACATCTGTTCATAGCCATTATTAATTTAGATGCACTGATAAAAAAACACCATATACATCTAAATACATCAATCATCAGCCCATGCCTTGATGCTTCTTTCCAAATATGTTTTTCTTTGATGGACTTTTATGACAACTATCTCTGATGAAAATTTTCAGGCATGTAACCCTTCTCATCAACAAGAGTGAACTTGAGAAAGTACCAGATGGTCCAAAGGTTTGTAGCACCCGTATTTCTTGAAGTTTATTCTAATCAAAGAGCATATATACATGGTTGTGCATGCATTTGGGATTCTGTTTTTAAGGGAGTAAACTGATTCTCATTTTATTTAGATTGTTCTAGTATCCATGGCCAGTTTGGAGGTGGGTTTTTCTCATGATATATTTGTTGAATGGGCAAGTGATGCCAAGAATCTCGTGCTTTTTACAGAAAGAGGCCAGGTATATCTTCTATTCAGTCTATCTAGTTTTCGACCAAATTCATTTTTAACATATATGCTTTCTCCTAATGCTGACAAATATATGTTCAAATGGGTTGGTCCTTCATTACTTATGTACATTCTTAGATAATATAATCGTCACCATAGTTCTAAGCCTCAATGGTAGCTACCTCTGCTTCCATTTGATATATGAAATTGGGCAGGCTATCTTGCTTTCTTTTCCTTATGGCAACATAAGCATTAGATACTTAATTTACTGTTTGACAAGCCAGATGTGAAGTTTCTTCTCGGTCTTTCTTTAAGCAACTGAGGAGTTTTACTAGGGCTATCTTAACTGAAAACAAAGCAGGAACTGGATCAAGGCTTTTTGTTGTAAAGTAGTTAGGTTGTAAAATTGTAATACAATACCATAAACTTTTGCCCATATAAAATCCTATGAACAGTAAACCCTTTCTTGATCAGTGTCAGGGACCGAGATGGTTATATGGTGCTTCTCGTCTCTTTTTTTGGTGTAATACATGAAAATGTCCGTTATTTCATTCATAATATAACATTTGGCCTTAAGTTATGCAATTCTAACATCTTTTACACCAAATATTCATTCAGTTTGCTACATTAGCCCGCATGCTTCAGGCAGATCCTCCTCCTAAAGCTGTAAAAGTGACCATGTGCAAGAGGGTTCCATTGGTTGGAGAGGAGTTAAGAGCTTATGAGGAAGAACAGAATCGAATAAAAAAAGAAGCTCTAAAAGCTAGCCAAAGCAAAGAGGAAGACCTAAAAGCATCTCATGGATCTGATGCTAATTTGGGGGATCCAATGGTCATTGATGCAATCAATGCTCATTCTTCATCAGATGGTATGCTTACTCCTTTCCTATCCTTGACCACACGGTATAACTTTCTACAACTTTCATTTGAATGATTTATGATTTTTCCACCTGGAAATTTAGAACTTTTGTTTCTTTTTGTATATTAACTTTGAATAGTGGTTCGAACCTTATTGGCAAAGGACTTGGTTGCTTGGAATTTAATAGGAACTATAGATTATTATGCCAAAGGACATTTTTTGACAATTAATGTGCCAAACAACTCTTTTTTATCATCAAGAGTAAAAATAGAATTGCATTCATCTCAAATCCAGGAGCCCACACTGTACATGGTTAGACAGCAGGAAGAGTACAGAACAGCACACAGATGACAAAGCATTTTTTTGACAACAGGTAAAATATAATATCATTAAAAGAAAGAAGGAAAACAAAAATCATGTAAAACATGTACAGCAAACCATTCATTTATCAAAAAAAACATGTACAGCAAGATGCTGTAAACGGATTTACAAAACACTGCCCATACAGACCTATACCCCCCCAGCCCTGCTTTACAAAAAAGAGATTCTCCTGTACAAAAAAAAAAAAAGTGTTGTAATTCTTATCCTTGAACAATTTGTTTACAGATAGCCAATACATCCATTTGCTGAAACACTGCCATATTCACCAAAAAACAGCTGCAGGAACCATGTTCCAAGCCAGTTTTCCTTTCAAGGGTAAACCTCCTATGCTCCAACCTCTTACACAATCCATTACCAGTTCCGCACAGCAGCTTTTTATTTCAAACATGAAGGCATAATATGATCAGATTACAGCTTATAAATTCTTCCCAAGTCTTGGCAAGATTGCCAGCCAAATAATTGGCAGATCTAGAGATCAACATGAACGAACAACTTAGGTTTCTTCCCAATGCTTTGGCTTCTCTAACATTAAAAAAGAAAAGCCCAAAGGAGTTTCTTCATCTGTACCTAACCATGAGATGACTACTTTGAAGGCTCATTCCACAATAATGTTACTCCAGTTTTGACCTGCCACCAGTCTTAAGCCTTGAATTACACCAGTCATTTCAGATTTTAAGGAATTGCCAGACCCAGTTGTCCCAGAACTTAGCAATATTCTTTCCCTATTGTCCTTTACCACTCCTCTCATACCAGATTCTCCTGGATTACCCAGGCTACAACCATCAAAGTTTAGTTTGAGCCATCCCTCTTCAGGAGGAACCTAGTTTACAGTTCTTGGTTGGATCAAGGTTGGTGTTCCTGCTACTATGTTCTAGCCTCTATTAAGATCATACAGTAAAACCCTTTTAAAATCCTCACACACCAACACCCAATGAGCTATTCTGACTTTGGTTGGCTCAATTAAGGACTCCAGATTATATTCTTTATCATCAAACATTTGGCCATTCCTTTTGCCCCAAATGCTCCACAAAATAGCAGCCTTTGCACTATGCCCTAACAGTCTCATTCTTTTAGTATGGCAAGAAATTACATTTTGGACAAAAATGTCCTTGATACATTATGGAGCTGTCCATGGCAAACCATACAAGGATAAAAAGTGATCCTAAAATTGAGAAGAAAATTAATAATTTAATAAAAGATGAATCCCATTTGTGGATATTGGGCAGTCCAGTTATCTATCTATCTATCATCTTGGGCATTCTAGTTCATATGCTTGCACCTTGATACACTTGACACTTTTTGGCAATAAAAAGGATATGGTGATTTAAGATTTAATAGAAAATATGCCAGGATAAATTTGAGTGGAGCAATGAGATCTTTTGTTGCTGATGATGGTAGCCATGTATGATTTGTGAATTGATTGCCTATGTTACCAAGATACGGCAAGAGAACACCTGGACAGCGTCAGATGTGAAATATACATAAAAAATTGTAGTATCTGATATGGTATAGATGTGCACCCTTATACAGGCATCCAAGTATCATAGTTGCTTGCATACTGTGTGGAATGGGAATAAATTGGTGAAACTGCAACAAACCGAGCTTAAATGTTAGAATTGCCATGTTAAATTGATCTATTCACTTTTCCTGAATGAATTTCTGTTATCTACTGTTGCTTGTCATAATAACACTTGATTTTGTGATACTTTGATCCTTACTACATGAGCACAAACCTACCTACTAGCATACATTCCATGCATATACAGATGGTACATATCGTCAACTATTGCTTCTGCTTTCATCGAGATGTTTAGATGTAATGTACCATTTTGGTGGGAGATAATATGTCTTGCTCATTTCACTTGTTGATATACTTATGCAGTGACTGGCCCACATGGTAGTGGGCAACGGGACATCTTAATTGATGGATTTGTTCCTCTATCCACTAGTGTTGCCCCGATGTTTCCCTTTTTTGAGAACTCTGCTGAATGGGATGACTTTGGTGAGGTCATTAATCCTGATGATTATGTAATCAAGGAAGAAGACATGGATCAAACATTTATGCATGTAAGTTTCTTTTTTTTTTTGAATATCTGCTTAGTTATTGCATAAATAACAATTAATCAATTAACTATGTGATTCCATGTTCCTTTCTGTCTATGAGGTCTGTTTGACTGTTTTCTTTATTTGTCAAGTACCATATATTTGTAATATTTCAAGAAACAATACTTTCCTTATAAAATGTTATATATAATTAGCAGTTAATATTGAATTTGGGGCAGTATTAGTTTGTTAGTGTTTGGTTACTAGTAAAAACACATGAGGAAGCAAAGTTTTATTGAAATGTAAAAGGTAAGCCATTTTACTTGGAGTCTCCAATGAGGTTGTGGGTTTAACATTTTAGAAGTATTAGTATCCTTCACAAGAATCTTTGATTTCATGAAGTCTTTCTCCTCCTTGTAAGTAGGGGTGCTCAACAAAAAAAATATATATATATATATAGTATTTATATTATATTTATATATTTATTATAGTATGTTGTAAATATAAAAAACCGAGAAACCAAAGAACCAAACTGATCAACTGGTTAACCAATTGGTTTTTGCTTCACGTTTTTTCAAAAGACAACGGTACTAATAGCCCACAGTTCAGTTAACTGAACCGTGAGCATCCCTATTTGTAAGCCTAAAATCTAGGAATCCTGTCACCCTGTTTTTCAAACTTATTTTTTTTTATAGATGAATGAAATTGTTATTAATAGAGAAACAGTGAGCATACAAACAACCTAAGAAGAGGCATGAGATGTGACCTCTTTAAGGATGAAATCACAAAACTCACACTAAACAGAAATCAGTTTATAAGGTAGCCCAATACAAAGAAACCCTTGAGGCCCCTTGTTTAGCAAGAGAATCAACCAAAACATTTGCTGATCAGCTAACCCACTGAAATTTAACCGACATGTTTCTTGTAAGCCAATTAACTCTTCTTAGGAGATCCCTATAATCCCAATTAACAGTATCTGGGTTCGCCACCCAACCCACAACCACCTTAGAATCTCCCTCAATTATCAAATTCTCCACTCCGAGTTGGTTGGCAAGCTGTATTCCTTGTACTGCTGCTAGTATCTCAGCCCTTGTAGAGTCTCCAACTCCCACTGGTCCTGAGTAAAAGGAAAGAATGTTGCTATCCTTATCTCTCAAAACCCCTCTTATGCACGAGGGTCCTGGGTTCCCTTGACTACTCCTATCAAAGTTCAATTTCACAGCACCCTCTGGAGGGGGTAGCCAGCTAGCTTGTATTCTAATCTTTTGAGAAGATGTGAAAGCCACTGCTGCCCAGTTTCTCCTGAGATCATCATGGGAGTAATTCTCAAAAAGTGTTGAAGTTTTCAGCCGAAGGGTTGCCCTTTTCAAGATACACTCTTTTACTTTAGAGAGACTCCTTTGCTTTCCTTGAAAGATTTTGGCATTTCTTTCCTCCCAAATAGTCTATAACAGATCTGCTCTAGCACATTTCCACATTAATTTTCCCCTCTTGTTTCGGGATTGCAATCAAATACTAGAAAATTTTATAAGAATAGTTTTTTTTTTTCTTTTTTTTATCTTGCAGGCTGTTATTTTCCACTATAAATCTTTTGCATGCAAAAATATTTGTTGGGGATTCAAAGACAATGTTAGTCAGTTTACTTTCCCCCTTAGGCTTGATTGCTGATATCACAAGTGCTTTGCAGGACGGTTGGATGAATTGAGAGTTGAATAACTAGAAGAATCCGATTTGCTATTAATGATTGTTAAATTGCCCAAGTGACTAACTCAATATTTGTCCATCAAGTGAGTCTAACTTGTGATAGAAAGACTTAAGTTTCCAACATAATGAACAGTGTTTCAGAAACCAAACTACTCACTAGCTGGATAAGTTGCTGAACCAGTTGGACTGGTCTGAGCTTTGACTGAACTGCATGGATAAAATTAAAATTGATAATCACATGGAATGGAAAATACCATCAAGTTGGGGCCTGGGCCTAGCTTTTTTCTCATCCAAGCATGGCCTAGCCAGGACATAAGCTGGATCCAGCCTTGAATAATATCTCAAGGCTTGCTTGGCCTAAATGCATATGTCTCCTCCCTACTTAAAGTTTATATTCCACTAGTCCATATCAGGCTTAATATGGTTTGAACCAGGGATGCCAATGGGTCAGGTTTAGTGGTAAACCTGCATTGACCTAATGTTAGACAGTGTATGCTCTTAGCTCTAATCAGATTGATGTATCTTTTGACATTTATTGTAAATGAATAAAGTACATAATTGATTCATGTTATTATGGTGTGTTTCTGTGTAATACCCTTAAAYTKGAYACATATGAGACTCSTRTTAGTTTAGAATCTTCACAGTCGTTGGATAGATCTGGGGAGATTTATCCTGCCAAGGCTGACATTGATGTATCACCAAGTTTGTTGGGGTGTCTTGTCTCAGTTGCTAGGGTGAGACCTAAGGTACATGCAGTTTGGGTTTTCTTGAAACCCTGAACTGGATCAAAATTTCAGTATTGCCTTGGACCTTGGAGATAGATGGGCAAAATTGGAATGTTACACCTGACCCCTAGACTCGATTATGATACTGCACTACGTGTCGGATTGGGTTGTCTTTGATATGCCAATCAGTGAAATCCTTAGAGGGGGTCAAAACCTAGGTATGTTGGGACAGTTCAAGAATTCATCTAAGTGGGTGATCATAGTGACAGGATCAGCCCCTTTGTCGGACAAAGTGAGTGATCGGGGATGCACTCTCTCTGATGGAAACCTAAGATGTCGGCAGTTGATTTCAACCGTTGAAATTTGTTTTTGCAAAATATATTTATATAGAGATATACATATATATTATGGTTTCAAAATGTTTGCAAAAGGTTTTAATTCTCGGGATTCATGTGAGTAGAGAGTGCAGCACTGCACCTTGCAGCCGAGGGAGAGGTCCTCTCTTGTTAGGCAGTGTTTGATCATTATGGGTTGAGAGGTCAAGTGTAAGACCATTGAGGGTTATACATGATGGGCTAATCTTGCATCTGTCCACAGTCCTTGGGCCTTCATAAGATGGCTGGACCCAATGACCATTTAGTGTAAATGTTGGGCCCATTAAGAGTCCATGGTGATGGACTCAGGGGTTCACTGGATTCAGCAGTGAATTTGGCCAAGCCTTGTAACAGAGGTTGGGCTGAACCCATGTGGTTGATGTATAGATCAATGATAGGGTCCCACGCCATACAAAGAGAGCCAAGCTAGCCAGCATTAAAGAGGAAGTGAGCCTGAAAGCTTAATGGGCCTAAAAGCTCATTTCGAACTAGGTTAATTAGATTAATTAAATAGGGGCGGATCTAGGATTTGGATCAACAGATAAGATAAGGGATTATCCTTATCTACTTAAAGAGTCCAGATCCAAATAAAGATTTGGATCAAGGAACTCTTAATTTGATTAGGAAGGCTGATCTTTATCTACAGATAAGATAAGGGATTATCCTTATCACTTAAAGAGTCCAGATCCAAATAAAGATTTGGATCAGGAAACTTCTAATGAGATTAGGAAGTTGTCTCTTTAAGGTTATAAATAAGAGAGCATGGCGAACCTTGAAGATACACTCACTCAATGGAGAGAGAAGACAACTCAGTTAGATTGATCTTGCCTTCAGTTCTTTTTCTTTCTGCTCTTGCCGCCCTACCCTATTCGATCTCCAGTTCTTGGATTTGATCAAGATTCGATCTTGATATTGTTTTTTGCCAGAAGAAACAATTTAGAAGTTGTGCTCATTATCCCATTCGATTCTTGCTGAAGAATCACAAGTTCTTGGTGAAGAATTACCTGCTGATCCTGTCTCATCCTAAGCTGTGTCATCTTCAGTAGAGGGAGGATTTGGTACACTCTTTGGGCGTGAACACCTACGTTGGGAGGAGCATTCTTGCGTGGATTCCGTATCAGGTATATCCCTTCCTAATTCTGGTTTCAGATTTGGTTCGGTTTGGTTACAAGAACGAACCTTGAAAATGCAGTTTTCTAAATTGGGAATAGGATTCCCGGATGGTTGTAAAGAAATTTTTGAAATTTTGCCCAACCTTCCTACAGGGTTCGGCCATCCATATGATGGATCTCCCACCCCTTTCACCTAACCCTATCAAGGTAGGGTTGTGTCAGCCTAAATCAAGTTTGGTCAGCTTTAGGTTGAGGTGAGCTCATGCTAAACCTGTCCCATTGACATTTCAGCATTGAAATATTTGATTATAGGCTTGGTTGAGTATAGGTGTATTATATATGAGACAAGTCGGGTCAGGTTCGATGGCCTTCTTCATTTAGTCGGGTCAATTGGGTTCAGGTATATCTGATCCGTTGACATCCCTAGTTTGAATATTGGTCTCTTGCACTCAAAGGCTCAAACACCGAGCTTACACCCTTAATAATGACAAATTTTAAACATAAATATACAATAGATAATGAATTTACACGTTAATGTTAGGACTTAGGAAGCCCTGCCTTACCAGTGCTAGGGCCAGTTCGGACTTAAATATTTGGCCCCAAACCTAGGCTGGCCATATGGCCCTTATGATCATTCACAGTAAAATTTGGCCTGAATCTGGCAAGGTGCATGGTTGCCCTTAACATAAACTTGGAAACACAAAAAAAAAATACAAAAGAAGAAACAAATGGCCCAGATTATTAGGAGGCAATTTACCAGGTTGGGCTGGCTGGCCTAGTCACCGGGCCTAACATACAAGCCTATTCCAACCCTAAGGCTGGTTCATGTATTTAGTTAATATTTGTTATTATATAGATTTCATATACAGATATTTGTATATCTTATATCAATTATCAACTTTTAATATTTAATATGTATGTATAAATATTTATAACATAACATGAAAAGATGTAGTTGAAAAGAGTGAGAAATTCCATAAAGGTAGAATTAAGGGCTGTAATACAAGGTTTAAGTCTAATGAAGTCCTTACACCACACTAATATAGTGGCTGAAGGGGATTCTATTCTAGTGGTGGGACAGTGTAAGCCAAAAAGTGTAGGTCTATGGGTATATATGAATACAATATGGGAAATGAAAAGGCTGGTAGATGAGATAATGCAACTTCACATTGACATATAAGTTAGCTAATGGTCTGGTGGACAAGTTAGCAAGACAAGGAGCAAATTAATAGGCTCTATAATGGGGAATGATTTCCCAAGGGCGAAGTTACAACACCACAATGCAAAGTGACAACAAAAAAGTGGTGTGGGTGGGTGGCCTTGCTACCCTCTGGGGTGCATGGAACGTCGCGTACATATAGTATTCGTTTTCCTTTTTAATGGTAACTAGTTTCTGATAGAACAAAACAGTGGGTCATATTAGCATAGTATTCACATACAACCTGGCTGGAGCAGGTCTTAATGTCTCTGGCTGGTCCAGCCTCTTGACATAACCAGGCCTACAGCTTGGGTTCAGGCTGGGTGCAACCTGCTAGTTGCCACTCTTAATCTGGATTATGTGTGGAAGAGAGGTTTCAATTAAAAGACATACCACAGTTTTAAACTAATTATTACAAAGTAGAACTAAAATTATTTCTCACTAGAAAATTAATGACAAGAAAAACCACAATAAATATCAGCTGACCTAAAAATCTTCTAGATTGACTGCACAGAAATCATGGAAAAAGAAGAAAATGAGTGCAATAGAGGGTTTGGGGTAGTAGAAGGACTAAATTGAGAAACAAGAAACAAGAAAGTCAATCCCCCAAAGATTGTTGTTTTTTGTTGGGAAGTTTATTATGGTAAGATTAATATCTTTAAAAACCTGCAAAAAAGAGACCAAAATGGGGCTTATTCCCTAATTGGTGTGTTCTTTGTAAATCTCAGAATGAGGACTGTCACCACTTGATGATCTCTTGCTCCTTTGCTACAGATTTATGGAATTGGAGTTTTATGTTGTTTGAGTGTATGTGGAACCTGTTATCTGATACTAGTTTGCTGTTTAGTCTGTATATCTTTGAATGGCACACAAAGAGAGGGATTATGTGGAAGTGCATAAGAGCAGCCTTGCTGTGGACAGTTTAGAAAGAAAGGAACACCAGAATTTTTTGTGAAAAATAAAGGAGCTTCTCGGAAGTTAAAGAAAGTATTCTGACAAGGGCAATTCAGTGGCTGAAAACTCTAAAGCTCTTTGGTGCATACTCTTTTGATGACCTATGGAGAAGATGGTTAGTAGTGGCTAATACTTCTACCAGGAAGGACAGACATGTGGTTGAATGGATGCCACCAGAGGAGTTTATCAAGCTGGACTTTGATGGAAGCAGCCGAGGAAATCCAAGACCTTCAGACATAGGAGTGCTGACAAAGACAATAGCATTATATCTTTGTACTTAGGTCCTGCAGATGTGGGAGACTCTTTAAGGGCCGAATTACTTGCTGCTGTACAAGGAATCCAGCTTGCAAACCAGCTAGGCATAGAGCATCTGATTATTGAAGGGGATTCCCAGGTGATAATGGGTTGGCTGAAGGATCTGGACACTGTGATCTGGAGCTTTAGATATCTTCTCAAAAAGGTTAAATGGCTAACAAGGAATATGATAATCAAAGTTCAGTGGATAGGCAGATCAGAAAACTCAATGGCTGATTCACTTGCAAAACAAGGGGTTCTTCGGGCTACTTTATTTTGGGCTTCTGTGTAATTTCTTTTGTAGTTAGTTATAATTCTCTAATTAGTTCTAAAGGAAAGGTCGCATCTCGTGCCTTTCCATGGGTTGCATGTAACTCTTATTTGCTGGTTTAATAAAATCTTACTCATTTATCAACAAAAAAAAAGAAACAAACAAGAAAGTCAAGCAAAGAAGTGCTAGCAAAATGCTGCTTTGGTAATGGAAGCCCAATTCTACAACACCAGCCACACCATACTGTGCAAGAGAATCAGATGGGATTTTGTGTTTCTAAAAGATTTATGTATGTGTATTTCTTGTATTTTGTTATAGGTAACCAAACAGAAGTTGACTTTGACATGGATTAGGAGGAAATTGTGAAACACTGATACATGGAAGCCCAATTCATCCTCTCCTTTACTTGTACTCATCATTTTTCATATGTTTAACAAAAATTGTCTTTATCAATATAAAAAGAAACATTATCAGGGCACCTTTCATAAACAATATCTCAACTTCAGGAGGTTCTAAGATATTAAGGCTCTGAAAGAGAATCTCTAAATTCACTTTCAAGAAAATTCAAAATTCCTTCCTAATGTGTCAGAAACACAAATAGAATAACTCCTGAAGTGTATGCAAGAATGCTGCTTACAATATAGAAGGTAGTACAATGGTAAAAAGTAATAGTGCCTGTGCCGATAAAAAAATAGTGCCTGAGTGTCAACTCTCGAGGAGTCCAAGGCTAATCCATATGCCAAAATGAAGGGTAAGTTCTAGAACTGTAATGTCAATCCCTCGCTATAATATAAAAGAGAATACCACTGATTATATTACCCACCAAGACCCAATGACATCTATCTTTATGAATCATTGCAACGGAACAAATGGCTGGATAGATATTTACCTGCATAATTATAATATTGTAAAGAAACTTGAAAAATCATGACACAGATGCTTTAGACACCTTATTTGATGTTTTTGTTTTTCTCATGACATGTTCTCTAGTAATGTTGAGTGTCAACCATTCTTTATTGAATTCAAGTTGAAGTTATCATCACTATTATATTACAAGAAATGTCCTCCCATGTGCCAATTTTAAGACATCATATTATATCATCAATTTTAAGAAACGTGGGTTCAGGGGCTTCAAGCACATTTTTGTATTTGCTGATTTGATTGTGGCATGTTAATGTTTTGTTATTGCTCAAAGGTCAATATTCTATATGCTCTGGTAATCTATTTAGTTATTTATTGTAAATATATCCTATGTAAGTTAAAAGAAAACCTTAATTGAGTACTTTCTTTTAAACTTGATAAATGTATCCTATATGCACCTAATATTTCAGATATTCTGCTTCAGGTCAGTGGGGATCTGGATGGAAAACTTGATGAAAGCGCTGCTAACTTGATACTTGATTCAAAACCTTCGAAAGTTATTTCAAATGAATTGACAGTAAGTCAAACCCTATCTTTTGTGGGTGGTGGTATTATTCTTTTGCTTATTCATTTACAGGGTCTAGACAAGATGCTATTTGTGCATTATCAACTTGGAGATATTTTATTTTTAATCATTAGGAACTTGAAGATTATTATCATGCATATATGCATTTTCAGAATTCTCTGTGGCCTGTGATAATGAACTTTCTACAAATAGACATGCTTCCTTGTCCTTTTGATTTATGAGATTTTTTTTGGTTATTTCCATCCTGATCATGTGGAACTTTTAGATTAATGGGTAGAACTGTATGCTCATAGCTTCAGTAAACTCGACTAATAGCCATATGTTTATGTACTTGTCTGTACGTGTCTCGCAAATAGATGTTAAATTATCTTAGTCATCTTCATTTGGAAAAAAAAAAAAATTGGTAATAGTGCTATTTTAAGGTATCCACCCTCATCTTTTTTCTTGTTTTCTTTTATTTTTTGTCTCTTTCTTTCTCTATCCGAAAAATGAAGAAAATATGGGCTCCCCTTTTATTCTTTTCTTGTTTTCATCTCCATGCCTCTCCCTGCACTTTGAATATAGGGATACACCCTTCCATCTTTTTTCTTGTTGTAATTTTGCATTTGTTTTAATTTGCTATAATCTGTATGTAAATGAATGCCTTTTAACTTATTTAATTTGTAATAATTGGCACGAAGTATTAAATAATTATGTTTTTTCATTAATTTGTTCCTTGTTTTAGAATTCTTTGTCATGTGAGATCTGTTATTTTTTGTGAAACTACTAATATTTCTTAGTTTCTGTACATGCCCAGTTGCTATTCTAACTAGGAAAACAACCTATAAGGCTTTTTTGTTAACTTTATTACCTAGGCAACACTAGGCATGTAAATGACAAGGTGCTCAACCTTGCTCTACTGCCTTGACAACTAAAATGCATTTTGACCCTGATAGTCCAAGATAAATACAATATTCATGTACTCCCTGAAGTTGGGGGTGGGGGGTCAAATGTTGCTGGCAAATGGTAATGGCATGACGGTTCTCGTACTTATTCGGTATTTTAGTGAAAACATTTGCCACTTGATCTTCTGACCTGAGAACTATTTCAGCACTATCTTTCTTGGCTTGATTATTGTTTTAACTGATAGATCTTCAAACCAGGTTTTGAATAACCCTTTGGCATCTTCTCCATGTTCTCACTAAAATATCCCTCTAATTGTTCTAGGTTGGATTCCCAGAGGACCAAAAAATGGTGTATAGTGTAACTTATTTTTTCAGAATTTACAGTCATGTTGCTATTATCTATTAAAAGAGTTGCAGTGCTATAGTACTATTAATACTCCTAACCAACATATTTCTGTTTAATGTTGTCATCTTTGTTTCAGGTGCAAGTTAAGTGTTCATTAATATACATGGACTTTGAGGGCCGTTCTGATGGCCGGTCAATAAAATCAATTCTTGCACATGTGGCCCCACTGAAACTTGTATGGAATTCTTTCTTTATGTCATAGAGATACTAGGTCTAGGACCATCAACAATTATTTAGCATCTATTAATCTTTCTTATACAAGTTTATAGTTGTTCCAACTATTTTTTTTTTATCAATAACGCTTTCATTAATTCATCAGTAGAAAATTTACAAGTGGAAGACACACTTATCCCAAAACAATGAATCCCTTTCTGCCCCTTGTTTAGCTAAACCGTCAGCTAGGGAATTAGC